ACTTGGATGGTTGTTAATCGCGGAAGGAAGAAACTGTAACAGTCTTTCTAAGGAAGTTAATCTTAAACCTTTGGAGAAAAGGTGTAGTGAGGAAATCTGATTCAGCAACAAATAGCTACGAGATAGGTGAATGAACTCATCAGTTGGTGCACTAACTATAGAAAAGGTTTGTACACAACTATCGAGTGATAAATCGGGTATCGTCATCCCCAGCCGAAAGCTCCCAATCATGATAACTGTTTCTAATACTGTTCTCTTCCATTTATTAGAACAAATTTGATGTTCTTAGTGACCTCTAGAAGATGGAGAAATAATTCAAGAAGCGAAGCCAACTATTAGATGAAAAGCTGTCTCACAGATGATAACTTACTGGATAAATCTGAAAAGAAGTGTTCTTATTCAATCAACATTGGAGAGATTCAAGTTTGGTCAAAGAGAAGAAGTCCTAAAGCAATAACTGAGATTCTGGGCCTATGTAACAAAAGCACAAAGACAGAAAAATTGATCATGAAGCTGAAGAACAGGAGTGGGGTACTTCCCACATCTCTTCAACCATGAACTCATTAGCCTCTGGAACAGTAGAAGGAGCCAGAACTAAAAGGGGACTTCTCTATACATAGGATTTGTAAAAATGTATAATGCCAGTTTTTTTTTAGCTTTATGGAAACTAGAATTCTTCTCTTTTCAATGAGATGAAGTTAAAAAGTTGAGTGGGTTGAAGATTGGAACATGTTATGGTACCCTCGTTGGTTCTCTCTGGAGGGATAATTGTGTAATATGGAATCTGGTTTTGCAGATTTCCTCATTGATTGGTCTACTTCTCATGCATCATTGGTGACTTTAGCATCAATGGCAAGGAAAAATGGAGAGTTGCTCTGTATATTGGAAGCAAAGACTTGATAAAAACAAGGGAGGCTATGGAAGTTATTGGAAATGTACTCTGTGTGTGAAGAACCACATGGTTAATAGGGGAAACTTCAATTGTCTCATTCTATGGAAGACAAAAGAGGTGGGAGAATGTTCTTTCTTTCTCTAAGGTCAAAAGAAATGGAGGCTTTTTATCATAATAATGATTATCATGAAGGTGGGTTTTCTTGGGCTAGGTTCACTATGATGTCACACAATTGGTAGGAGCTCGGATATTTGGAAAGGCTACAGGTGCTCCTTAACTCTGAAGGCTATGAATTTTCTACTAACTTGGTGCTGAGACATCTTGCTAGAATTTCTCGGATCACAGCCTAATTTTGCTGTCCATTAGCTTAATGTCTGCTCCACTAAAAGAAGTTGTGAAATTTGAAGAATATTGGATTTATACCAGGCTTCTTTCCTATGTGATTAAAAAGGAATGGAATAAAAAATTACTCAGGCAATCCTTCTCAAATTTCTGAATGCCAAGTTCAGGAGATCCCTAAAGTCCCTCTTTTTTTATTGGAGAAAGCTAAATTGAGATATCTAATTGCTCAAAGATTGTCTTATGGAGAAATAAATAAAAATCAGATATCAGATCTGTAAAACGCTGGCTACGATGAACGAATCTGGTATTAAAAGCTAAAACATGTTGAATAAAGTAGCACTTTAGCTCGTCTGAATGGCTGTGGAAGCAAAGGGAAAATCACAAATGGCTAGCGATGGTGATGGAAATACAAGTGTTTTATCATTCCTTTGGCTAATGGTAGAAGAAGTTCAAACAGCAATCATAGAATTAAAAATGAAGAGGGGACGGTGGTTGAAGATTTCTAGATAAAATAGAAGAGGTAATTTGGGGCACTTCTTTAAGTAAATGGAAAAAGCGGATATGTCAAACTGTGGTCGCCGAAACCTTGGACTGGTTTTAAAGTATGAAGACAAAGGATGGCTTTCCAGAGACTTTTCCTGTAGAGAGAAATTGAAACTATTCATCATCTGGGAAGGAAATTGCACTGGAAGTGATGTATAATCTATCTTTATATAAAAAGCTATTGGAAAATTATTCAAAATGATTTCATTATGCTTTAATATTCCTAACTCAAGGGGAATGGACAAAGATTGGAAGGATACTTGAGTAGTTCTCAATCCGAAAGTTTCCCAAATCCGAATGCTGCCTTCAAACACGACCAGCTTTAGTTTGTCAATTGCTATACAAGGTGGCTGAAAAATCATCTTGATAGATCTGATTCAGTAATTCTGCTCACTACATATCGGATGAGCAAGCTTGCACATCATAAAAGGAAGTATCTATCCGATCACCTCTGATAGCCCACGAAATTATTTCAAAGATCAGATTTTCTAAGTCTTCAAAGGGTATGGCTGTTTACAAAATAGACCATTGGAACAAGCTTATGATCTATGAGTTGGACATACTAACCAAAAAATTTTTGGAAATACGTTTGAAGTCTCCGCCCAGTTTCAAAGAGTTAGATATGATGTGTTTTGATATCCTAGATTTTCTATAATCATGAAACGGTGAACTACAGGCAATGGATAATAGCGATAGGTGGATTGTCGTCAGGGATGCCCCAATTGTCGCCCGTATCCATTCTTTGTCCAATTACCTTTCCAATGCATTGCTCAGTCATCAGTCGGCGACTTTACTCTAGTAAGGATGGTTTTTACGTATTCTCCATCTTGTTATATGCAGATGAATCTAATTTTTCCAGAGACATCAAAAAAGTCCGCATGTGAAGTCAAGATAATTCTTTCAAATTACTGCAAATGGACTGGTCAATCCAATTACAATGAAAAATCTGTTATGCATTTTGGAAAACATGTAACAGAAGAGTAAAGAAAAGCATCTCTAAGCGGCTGTTGAGATTCAACCAGTTAAGGAGTTTTTCTATTTGGGATTAAAAATAGCCTTGAGAAGTTAGTACAAATGATAGTTACTTAATCATTGAAAGAACTCTCAAGAGACTTAATAACTTGGCGGAAGCAAGGTGGTTATACTAGCTGGAGAATTGCTCTAGTTACAATCAGTCATCCTTGCATTCCAAATTTTCTTCAGCACACATTCTTTAATTCCTTCCAGAATATTTGAAGAAGTTGAAAGCCTGTGCAGAGGTTTTTATTGGAACAAATCTGACGGAAAAACTGGGCTGTCATTACTAAGCTGGGAGGAAACTTTCAAACCAAAAAACTTGGGGTGGGGGCTGTTCTTCTTCTTCAAAGTGGCTCCTCTTTAGAGCAAATCCATGGGTATCTTTCTAATAGTAATTCCTTTTACAAGAAAGTTTTAGCTCTAAATTTGTAATGAACCCTGGTATTGACGAGTGTAAAAAAAAAACTTTCTCATCCTGGAAAATTTTATGTGACCGTGGAAGGCTTAAATCCCCTGATTAAATGGAGGTATTGATCGATAGTGCTCAAAATTGATGTGTTCAAGAGACATACATGGATTCTTTGATAGAAGTATTAAATAGAATGGTCAACACTTGTTGTGCACAAGTACGAAGAGACTGTCAGTTTAAGCAGATCATAGAAGAAATGGAGAATTGAAGAACTTGAAATTTGTTTGGTCGGATTTGAATTCTGTGGTTCTTCAATCAAGATAAAAGAAGATTCAGAGGGATGAGAATGGAGCTCATCTATCGAGAATTCTGGAAATTCTATTCCATAAGTGTCACAGAGATTGGTTTTCGGACTTCTGAAACTTATCAGGGTGGACTGTTTGGATCAAGAAGGCTATGCTTACACCAAGTGCAGGTTTTCTGCTTACAGATCTTTTTATAAAATGCATTGCTACTTTCAATCTTAAATATAAGAGATTTCTTGGAAGATTGATAAGTGTCGCCCCCCCTCCCCCCACCACCCCATAGTGCAGTGTTCTCTGGGTATGAAGAATATCGAACTACATTCTGACTAACATGCTTAAAACTAAGAAAGGTCATTTTACTTCTTTAATGCTGGGGTTTCAAATTCTGATATTTGACAGTTATGAAGAATGTTGCAACTGGTTTTGAAATCTACATCCAAGGTTAATGTATGTTGATTAACCTTTATTATAATGTAGTTTATCTTTCTTGGAAAGCTAGAAACAAATTGGTGCATGATGGAATTGCCGAAAGTGCTAATTAACATAGCTACCAATGCTCTATTAGCATGTCGTTCATTACTATGAAAGATTTTTGAACCAATTCCGAAAAAAATGGGGATGTTAATCAGTCTTTTTGGCTGTCTAATGCTGGCATCCCACCACCCGAATCGGCTGAAGATCAACGTAGATGCTGCACTATGCCTCATAAAAACTGGTAGTTGGGGTGTTATAAGAGATTACAAAGGGAAGATTTATTGGCTTTTGGTAATCTTAATACTCTATGTGGACATAAACCAATTGGAAATGCTTGCTATAAATTCTTATAAAGATTGTGATTAAGGATTGATGTTCAAATACAAAGGAGCAATATTGAGAGTGACAACTCAAATGTGCATCAAAGTTATTCATAAAGCAATTAACCAAGGAGCAAAGGTATGGAAAACTTTGAATTTTTTCAAGAGTTCAC